GGTTAGGCATCTCTGCTTAGCTCATTCAGAATATGAGCATCATCTGACAATCTTTGTCCTGATCGTCATGTGTATGTATTTTACTTTTTTCTTTTTTTTTTTGTCTAGAGTTTTTTAAACACTTCCATGTAAAGTGTAAATGTAATTTAGCAGAATGTGCATTGTTGTTCAACATCAGAGGCCTGTTGTCATACATACATAGCTGCTTAGGAGCAAAATGTTTCAGTCTCAGCTGCATCATCACTGTGCACTTCAACACAAACAGTTCCACCTATAGATGTGCAAAGTGTGAGTACTACTATTGCTTTTCCCTGTACTCGGGTTTTGCCTTTTACTGTAACAACTGTATAGAAGCAGTGGATCTTATGCTGAAACCTCTATGCTCTTAAACAGGTACAGGACACCAACTGTTCAGTTAGCATTGGCCTCTTATTTAAACCATGTATTTAAAACACACCACCGAATGGCATTTAGATTAAATCTAAATTTAATCTGAATTAAATCTGAGTGAATGAACACTCGTGGATGTCGTTTCCTCAGGGAACTGGGTCTATTTGATCATGTATTTGTTACGAATTAAGAAATAAAAGTTGAAACCCAAACTGAATGGGGGGAAAAAACCCAGTTGATTTAATAACTTTATCGCAGCCAATCTGGGTTTTTTGTTTTTGTTTTTTCTTTCAGGGCAATTTATTTGCTGTGCTTATTATTTGCAGGTCCCTTACCTCAGCAAGAGGGTATATGTATTTACTTTTTAGCAGAGATGTAAATTGTTTTTAAAGAATTTTGTACTTTATAATTTATTTCTTATTTATGTTAAGTTCTTTTTCCCTGAGGATTGTATTTCAAATTTATCTTGATTTCTTTCTTTTCAATAAATGTTTTTTAAAGCAACCTTGATGATAATAGTAATTTTCGTGAATAGGATAATGTGAGGGTTGAAATGCTACAGAAAATGAAGTGGAAGAAGATTTAACAAGAATCAACCTGAGCAGAAAATACATTAGCTTGCCTATTTACAGAATTGAACCCCCAAACTGGGATATGGGTTATTTGCATGTAAAATTAAAACATTTTAAAATATATTACTTTTGTTAGTGTTGTGTGAAAGTCTTGAGTCACCTCTCATAACCTATATTATGTTTCCAAGGAGCCAGACTTTCTTTATAATGGGCTATGACTGATTAAAGCATAAAAAGACACTTAACTCAAAGGGTAAAGCAATGCTGTCTGCTTGTAACAGACAACTTGGTAAAGAACCAAATTAAAATGGTCGTTTTAGGCAAGGTGCAAGCAGCCCATCGCATTTTTCTACCTTCTTTTTAGTTGAATCTACGTAAAATGCCGGAGATAATAATTTGCGAGGCATGAAACCGTACTTTTGCATTAACAGGCAATTTCTCCAGAAAATATCTCAGCGTAAAGTGCAGTGTTGGAAAGAGTTTCAGGCCTGTTACTTCTTTTTTCCTCGACTTGTCCTATCTACATCACATAGACCGTATGCATTTTTTTTAAAAATAGGGAAAAATCCAACAAAAACCTGAGATCCGTGTGAGCCACTGTTCATTGAAGCTTCATCTGAAATGGGCAAAGGCTGGTTATCAAGAAGCCATCCTTAAGGAAGGGAAATGGAGACGAAAGCCTGAGGTATTTGAAAAGTTACGCTTTCTGTGCATCTTGTGAATGTAATGACTAAAGAAGGAAGTCATCTAGGATGGTCAAACTTATACTATAGGTGCATGCTCTAGTAGCCTCCGGGGCACCTGTTGTTGTCAATTGACATTACATAAATAACACTGAATTATATTGAACTATAGAGACATTTAAAAATCGAAAAAACACAGTATAAAAAGAAGAAATAATGGCAGCTTTATTTCCTAAACATATGTAGTGCACATTGTTATGGTTATCCCTAAAAACCCCGACACAGATGACGAGGGTGTCATTTGAAAAGAGATATTATTATTATTATTATTATTATTTTTTTAACTTTATTTAACAAACAATGAGTATACAACATACGAACAGATGAAGTATACAAAACAACAGAACATTAACACAAAAAGCCAAGGGTAAAAGAAAAAGGTAACAATTATAAGGATACACGCAAAAATTCACATATATTGTTTTGAGAGCCTTTTTGTTGGTGCAGTCTGATATTGATTGTATGTACATTTCCACATCCTTAAAATAATGACAGAAATATGGTGTTTTGTTAGTAAACATTTATCATACTTCTTGGGGAACTTAAAGAAACAGAATAAAACATTTTCCCATCGTAAAGAAAACTCCCTTAAAATATGGACAATAACAAAGCTGCTAAATTCTTCCAGAATCTCTGTGTAAAAGAACAGTACCAAAAAAGATGTCTCACAGTTTCTGGATGATCCCCACAGAAAGTACAATTAGTATTAATTTCCCTTTTAAATTTTACCATGTAGTGACTGGCTGGATAACGTTTATGTAGAATTTTAAATGAGACTTCTTTCACCTTATTTACAATCAAATATTTATGGGGGACCATCCAGACTGTCTTCCACTTGATATCTGGAACATATCGGTTCCAATAAGATATTATATATGGGAGAGAGACGATATCTTCTTGGAATAAACGACGTATTTTCTTATTACTGTTACCAAGTTCCTGTGAAAAGCAGATTTTTCCTATTGGTGACTCAGCTGGATCGGGGAGAGTGACTGAGGTAGATATTGAGCTGTCAGTGTTTTTATATAACATTAAAGTCCCTGAGGGTATGGCACCAAGCACCATTGAGAATTCCTGAACACTGATTGGAAAATTATATAGTGCAATAAAGTCGTTGTAAGTAAGTAGTTGTCCCTCTTTATTAACCAGCTGAGCCACCAATAGGATCCCATTTTGGACCCAAGTTTCCAGGAAAAGTGATTTATTTTTATATAAAATATCTCTGTTGTTCCAGATAAGGTATTTGTGAGGTGAGAAGTTGTGTTTATAAATGAGGGTCCACGCTAAGAAGAAGAAGAAGAGACTGAACAGGGTGATCCGAAGGGCCAGCTCTGTTCTAGGATGCCCTCTGGACCCAGTGGAGGTGGTGAGTGACAGGAGAACGGCGGCTAAGCTGTCATCCCTGTTGGACAACATCTCCCACCCCATGCAGCAGACTGTGACAGCACTGAGCAGCTCCTTCAGTGGGAGACTGCGGCACCCACGGTGTGGGACGGAGAGATTTCGCAGGTCTTTCCTCCCCACTGCTGTCAGACTCCATAATAAAGACTTTAACTGAACAAACACACACATCCACACATGTGCAATAACACTAAGTGCAATAATCTTTTCTGGCATCGTTGTATTTTTACTCAGTTGTATATAGCATTCGTATTCTATTTTTATCTTATTGTATATTTTTATTCTATTTTATTCTACTGTATATAGTATTTTATTTTATTCTATTCTGTACAGTTGTGTACTGTATTTATTCTTATTGTATTCTAATTTTTGCGTCATAACTTTTGCACTGTCCACTTCCTGCTGTGACAAAACAAATTTCCCACGTGTGGGACTAATAAAGGTTATCTTATCTTATCTTATCTTAAGAGGACCTGCTTATGGAAGGATGAAAGCTTTACAGGGAGTTTCTCAACATTGTAATTACAATTTAAAGTAAAATTAAAGCCACCAAAACGAGAGAAAATATAATATGGTATAAAGTTCCAGATAGAGGTAGGGTTTTTAAGAAAATGTTTAGCCCAATTAATTTTGAAAGTGTTATTTAAAGTAGAAAAGTCTAAGACGTTAAGCCCACCTGATTCATATTTATTCATCACAACAGTTTTTCTAATATAATGCGTACGGTTTTTCCATATAAAATTAAAGAGCATACGGTCAATATCTTTACTAATTTTCTTATCCAGATGTAAGGAGAGAGCAGCATATGTTAATCGGGATATCCCTTCAGCTTTAGTAATTAACACTCTACCTTTCAAAGACAAGTCCCTTTGCAGCCACTGGTTGAACTTTTTTAGGGTTTTCTGTACAATTGGAGTGAAGTTTGAAGAGCATCTTGATTTTTAGTCTTTGGATATTAACAGTCCCAAGTATGTGACTTCTTATTTAACAGCGATATTACAGATAGTATTTGCAGGGCAGTCTTTAATTGCTAGTAACTCACACTTTTTTAGATTTAGGCATAAACCAGAGGCCTCAGAGAAATCACTAATCACAGTAAGAGCTGGAGGGATTTGGTTTGCATTCTTCGAGAAGAGTGTGGTGTCATCGGCTAACTGGCTGATGACGAGCTCCTTATCAGCTATGGTGATTCCTTGTACAACACTGTTTGAAATATTAGTTGCAAGAATTTGTGTACAAAGTAAAAATAAATATGGTGAAATAGGACATCCTTGGCGAATACCACGTTTCAGGTCAAATCTCGGGGTGGAGCCGTTAATCATTTTAATAGAACCATTGCCATTTGTGTATAAGGTTTTGACAGCTTTATAGAAAAACTTGCCAAAGCCAAATTTTTCCAAAGAGTGGAATATAAATTGATGTTCAATTGTATCAAAAGCCTTGTTAAAATCCAGGAAGACAATGAAGCTATTGTCAGGTACCAGATCAGAGTAATCAAGTAAATCCAAAACCAGTCTAATGTTATTAGAAATGTGTCTGTTTCTCATAAAGCCTGATTGTGTCTCATCAGTAATTGTTTCCAAGACCTCTTTAATTCTGTTAGCAAGTATTAAAGCCATAATCTTATAGTCATTATTGAGCAGGGAGATGGGTCTCCAATTATCAATAAAGAGTAAGTCTTTGTTTGGTTTTGGAATAAGTGTTATGAGACCTTGAGTAAGAGGAGGGAGGGTGTTATTCTCTATACTTTCTGTAAAAATCTGCAGTAAAAACGGAGCCAGGAGATTAGAAAATGATTTATAAAACTCTGCAGTCAAACCGAAAAGAGATATTATAGCAGAGGTACGTATAGGAACCAATTCCCTACATCGTTTATTTTGTCAGTGCTCTTTAGGCGGTGGAACCACTCACCGGAAGTGGACTGTCATTCCGATTGTGTCCTTGTTAGCTAGTTAGCCGCCACAACGGGCAAGCAAATGTGTGTTGTTTGGGAAGATGAATTAAACTGTACCTAAATAGTGAATCTGAACGACATCTCCGTGAAGCTGCTTTAACAGCATCATGCTGCGTGTAGGGAGCAGAGCTGCCTGGTGAGTTTGTATTTAATGAAGGTAACAGAAGCCAGGGTTAGCTACGGTGTGAGGAGAGCACATATGAAGCTGCTTCCTCTGACAGCTCAGGACGGCCGACCTGGTTCTGTGTAGATGACAGCAGCCCCATGTCATAGTAAGAAAGATAAAGGACACATATTATAGGAGTTATCACGGCTGTCTACGTGTGGAGTGCGTTTGGTTTATGTTGCCGGTGCTACTGCAGCATAAACGTTACCCTAGCATAAACCGGCTAAAAGTCTAGCTCGGTCGCTGAGTGTGTACAGCAGCTGCGTTATTTAAAAACAAAAACGATAGATTGACAGACCCCTGTTAACTGTGTCTGTACACTTAGTTAAGTGATTTATTGTAATAAACTGGGTTGTTTATAACGTTCAATGTCAAACCTGAAAACGTGTGCCATCTGCTTTCCTGCGTGTTGCTGCAGTCTATTGGGGCTACCTTGAACAAAAATGACTGCTTTTGTAACTGTTCTGTGGAAATGAGGTGTCTTTATTTTTTTCATCCACGCCTCATCTCAGCGTGGCCTGCAGGAACCTGGTGGCCAACAACATGGGGGTGAGATTTCGGATACCCTTGCAGAAGCTGCACCCTCTCTCCCGTGCTATCCATCACCGTTACTCTGGAAACGGCAACCCTCAGCGCCCTCCTCATCGCACAGCAGCCCGCTATTTCACCTCCATGTCTCGGTTGCCCATGCGGCCGCCGAAGCCTCACCCGGGCTCTGGGGGCCACGGGTACCAGCAGCAGCGCAACTTCTGGGTGGCTCGCCTTGTTGCTCGGTTGCTGAAGCTCAGATATATTCTGCTGGGGAGTGCAGTGGGAGGAGGGTATACAGCTAAGAAGGTCAGTGTGGAGTGTTGTGCTTTGCTTGTCATGTGAGATGCAGGAAAACTGTTAAACATACTGAAGCGGTGATGTTTTTTTTGTTTGTTTATGTTTTCTACCAGACCTATGATGAGTGGAAGGAAATGCTGCCTGATTTTAGTGAATACAACTGGGTGATTCCTGATTTTGTTTGGGAACTGAGCGAACAAATAGATCTTGGTAATTTTTTTTTTTTTTTTTTTTTACAAACAATAATGATTAAATCCCTCACATTGTTTTCCACCAGCTGTATCATGAGCTGCAGCTCTGTCTTTTCCACCTGACTGTGTTATCCATTTTCACCTGCAGATAAACTGGCCAAAGCTCTACCAGAGATGGAAGAAATAGCCAAACTACTACCCGACTTTGACAAAATTGGGGAGAACTTCACGTTCCTCAAAAGCCTCCTCACCTCTGGTGAGTAAACAAAGCATCAGCATTCACTTAATGCAATTACATATTATTGTAAAAAATAGCATGTGCAGACATCTGAGTGTCAGGATTTAGAATGAAGGTTACAGTAGCTTCACTGAAGCAAACCTGCTTTCCTCTTCTACCTTCTTACCTGTAACATACTCCAAGGGTTGCATTTTTGGTCTCCGACCTCTAAGGGACCTGAGCAGAATGAGCAAGTAGACTTCTGTATCCTGTTACTTGCTGATTTTTCTGCTACACCCTTTCTACCTCTGGTTGTGGTTATTAAATGATTCCTTATTAACTGAACCGTCCAGTAATTGCGATTTTGTTTTATTGCTGACTTTGGTTTCATGGTGTCACCATTTAGATGGGTCCATGTGCAGCATTTATGTGTGGTATTATACCAATATAAATGTATACATGTCTGTTATTTCATGACTTTCATTTAAAAACATTATCTGTACAAACTGATTGTGTAAACTGTATGACGTTTCCTGTGATAAGGAATTTCACTACAGTACAAGTTTGTTCCTGGGAACATGAAAGCTTAGATTTAAATAAAATGGTAAATGGCCTGTATTTATATAGCGCTTTACTAGTCCCTAAGGACCCCAAAGCGCTTTACATATCCAGTCATCCACCCATTCACACACACATTCACACACTTTGTACTAATGAGCCTCACTGAGTATTGTGTAGGAGGCATTTTGACTGGATGAGGATTTGATCATGTTTTTTGTCATCGTACATCAGCATTAATGTTTAAATAAATACTAAATATTATATTCTGCCTACAAATGATGAAGGATCGGTTATGCTTTCATAATGAAAAGGCACTAATGATAACTGTAACATTTATGGCTTTTTTCAAGATGACGCCCATTTGAGGGTGTTCTTATCAATTTTAACAGTTTTCTATTAATTAGCTAGGTCACTTAAAGCTCTGGCACAGCAGTATCTTTGTATTAATATACATCATCTAGCTAGCTGTGTCCCTGCTTTGACCATCATCCCTTTGCTTCTGTCTTTTATGATTTTTATCTTGTGTTGTTCTTCCTTTCTCCTCCCCCCCTACCCTCCTGTTGTCCTCCACGTTCTTCACAGGTGTGAGTTTGGGTAGTGAAGTCAAAGGAGCTTCTGGTCTGCATCTGTTGTTAGGTGTGTAAACCCAGCTCTCAGTAGTGCTGCCCACTCCCCTCTTTTCTTTCTGTGGCTATCTGACAATTGTCTCGCCACAGCACTGGCATGGTGGCCATGATTTTGGCTCTGAAGGCAGTAGCAGAGCATCTTCCTGGGATATGCAGTTAAATGCTGCTGTCATTGTTCAGACTATTTACCGAGTTCAGTAAGTGTAACTATGAGGGTTAAAAGGTCTAATCTTGGACTAAGCTTTGCTTGAATTGGTAGAAGATTTCTCTACTGCATCTTGAAGTCACCCCAAATTCATAGAAACCTTGAAGTTTACCTTTCCATAGTTAATTTAGAGCATAAATTTTTATTTTTTTATTTTTAAGAAAAATCTACAGAAAGGGTCTGGAGAGCTCATAAATGCAGATCATTGTTTTTACCTGTAGTATCTCCCCTTTTCCGTTTTCCTTTCTTTAAACCGGACTGTCCTCGGCTGTGCTTTGTCCTACTGTGTTGTGTATTCTTTGCCTCCTTTGACTTCCACCCTTTTTTCTCACCAGGGTTTTTTGCTTCTGTCATTCTTTCATCACTAATCGTTGGGGCAGGTTTGTTTTGCTCAAACTTATTGTTATTCAAATGGTTGGAAAATGAACACAAAGCTGATTAAGATGTAAATGAATTCTAATAATCAATCCAAACAATTAGCTGAAATTAATTAAATAACAATAATGTAACCCTTAAATGGGTTAAGATTAATAAAGGTAGTTCATTGCACAACAGTATGTGAAATATTTACCTGAAGGGATTCCCACACAGATGTGACCACGCCTTTGCAAGGAGTCATAATAACAGCAGGGAGTGTCTCTGGCTCTTACTCACGCACTATTAACACTTAATGTACCTGTAATGGCTTCAGGAAAAATATTTGTCCATTGATATAATCAATATACTTATTCCCAATGCTACTACATTTTTCTCTGTACATGTTCATTCTGTTGCTTAGTAGAGTTTTCCTTGTGCATTGTCATAACATGTCTGGAAAACTTAATTTCACCAGTTTTGATTAGGTGCCAAAGGAATATTAGAAAATTAAATGTAAAGATCTTAAAGAAGTCAATTCTTGAATTGCTTTTTGTCCATCTAAAACTGTGTTCCTAACAAGGTATGGAAGTTAATCAGAGTCAAAGACGTCAGCGTCAAACGGATGGAACCATTTACAGTATTTCAGTGCTTCAACATCTAGTCCTAGCTGTGCTAAGTTTTCTGATGATTATCAGACTGTTATACGTTCCTGAATAGCTTGAAAAACTTATGTAGTGCTACATTTTCCAGACATTTGAATTTTAGTCATTCTGCTCTTCTATTTTTCTATCGGGGGTCTTTTAGCCATAGTCACAACTCTCCTAGTTTGAGCTGCATGTAATAATATTTATGTATTTGCATTAGTAATCTTATCCTGGGTTGTTATGTCTCCTCTGATAGAAACTTCAGGTGATCCTCCACTAAATGCCACAGATTCCTCTGCTGCAGTCGCACATGAAGCTGGTGACAAGCAGTACAAAAAGGCAAGTAGATAGAATCTGCTCACACTTCCTAGTTTTTCTTCTCTTTACTCTGACACAGCTTGGTCTCGCTCAGCTCCTGTCTGCTACTTTTCGCTTCAAGGAAAAGAACTATGATCATTTAAATCAAAATGCCCCCCAAGAAACTTAAATGTTAGTTTGTATTACTCGAAAAAATTGTACATTTTTAAATGTAATGTGCTTTGAAGACCTGGCAGCGATTGAGGTCCATAGTCTTTAGCAGTGTACTACTTGGGGTTCGTTTTGATTCAGTGAGTTCTTCTGAATGTGAAATGTGAGTTAAACACAATCTTACCAGCCGATACACAGATATATAAAGGTGTAATAGTGAGAACAAAGTTTGTACAAGAACAGTGTTAATTAAAGATGGTAAATTGCCAAAAAGCTGTCTGTAAGTGCTGCTAGAGTAGTTTGATCTTCATCAAAGTTTTAAACCTGTACCTGCAAACTGTACAGCACCAAATCAAAGTGTTAACTGCAAGTTCTTACACACACTGCTGAACATGTGCGAAGTTTATTGACTGTTGTCTCACGTCGGTGGATAGTTGCTTCTTTTAACTTTATTTCCTTATTTACACAGTTATTTCATTTCTGTTGTCCTTTTGCTGTTTTGTATGTTTTGTACTTTGTATGTATGTTTGTTTTGTTTTCTGTTTCAGCGCATCCATGTCCTATTATTTATTTATCTATTTTTACCTTGTTTGTGTCTGCGTGCGTATGTGTGGTGTATGTGATTGTGTATAAGTGTGCTTGTTTAACAGTCTCTAAAGTTTAAAGGAAAGTGACAGCGACTTGGAGTATTAGGAGGTGCTTTTACAAAACAAAACTTTCCTATTCCCTATTTTTTCTATGATCATGGTCTCCAACATGAACAAAACACCACTTTTTATTATATTATTTGCACATTTCACAGAGTGAAAAAGCAAAAGGATGCACACAATTTGACATACGTCATGGTGGGGACTCTTGAACTATTTTTCCTGCTATTTAGTATGCTTTGTGCTTCACCCTGACCGATATCTCAGTGCCTGCTTCGCTTGGTTAATCATCAACTTCCGACCAGTTGTTTTCAGGTCCATTTAACGTTGTTTTGCAGCACATCTAAACATTTTGGTCAAAACTTGAAACTTGTTTTACAGAAGTTGTGTTATTGAGGAATTATGAACTTCAGGCAAAGTGTTGTTCCACTCATGATGAGCAGATAGCCAAAAATCCTCAGTGGAGCATAATAATGAGCAAATGCAACAGTATCACAGTTGCTGCCACTCGCTGAGAGGCACTGGTTGTCGTATTAGTTGCCTCTTCTGCCTTCAGTCTGACAAAGTTCAGCATCTCTGTGTTTTGGATTTAGGAGAGGCTGACTTTGCTCAGTTACACTGATGATGGTGGCAAGATTAACACAGCCAAAGACTGTGATTCGTTTTAATGACAACCCTTAATTAATACAGTTTAATTTTGACTCAAAAACAAAATAAATCCCAGAGACAAAGACAGACGCCCTCTGCTGTAGCCCTGTGTTGGGTTACTGCAGTGGCCTGTAATGCTGGCCTGCCCCGTGGCCTGCAGATGTTTTTGTTGCGCCTCCTGCCTTTTTCTCACTATGACATACCTCAGCAGGGTCTGCTTGGCGAGCTCATTCTTATTCAGCAGCAGATCCAGCGGCACGAGGAGGAGGTCCGACGGGCCGCTGCAGCCAGTAGTGCACGCCCCCAACCGTCAGAGCCTGCTCCGAACCCCAGCCCCCCTCAACAGTCACGCAAGGTGAAGGTCCAGTCCCGCTTAGATCTGCTCTATCATACAAGAGACTCCTAAAGCTTTATAGCTACAGCACAGATTTAAATCGTTGGACTAAGTAATGTCAGCCAGCGCTACCTTAAAAAAAAAACCACTAGAGTAACTTCACACCCAGTGAAAATCAGTGTTTCCTCTCTGAAAGGTTCAAGCCTCTTTACCTCAGCGGTGCTGATGGGCACAATTAAAAGTGTGAAAATAACCACACATGAGTATACTAAACAGTTACTGTAGCGGTGACCTCATAAGATTTTCAGCTGGTGTAAAGTTGGTGTATATATATTTGTTTTTGTTAAACTTGTAGTCCACATAAATTGGCCTGTCAGCAGATTTTATTCCACCCTCTACAGTATTAAAAAGCAGTCGTCTTCTTTGACTGTGTAGTTTGAGTTTGTTTTGCCAGTGTGCTGTTGAAAGGGCTTGCATGGACCACAACAGCTGGGTTTGCTAGAAATGGTGACTATAGCCAGCGTCATTCTCCCACGCAAGTGGCTGGATAATCATCAGCAGTACTGCATTATTGTGCAGAAGCGCTGCATGGAGTGGAGTGAAGCCTGCCGCATGGTGTGAGCTACACTTTTTTTTTTTAAACTCTCATGAGTGGATCTAACTTTTCTTTATCAATTTACTTCATCAACACGCTTAAGCTCTTTAAGAGCTCCTTAAAGCTCCTTAAAAATAATGAAGCGATCTCTTAGCTTTTCAAAAATCTTTGCTATGTATTGCAAGAATGTAAGTTGAAGAACATTTCTTACCCCTGTTGTGCAGTATAGAAATGGTTTTTAATGAAATAGTTTGGTGTGTCTTTAAATTCCTTTTCTTCTTCTTCTATCATTTGTCCATGTCTGCTGTGCCTCCTGCTTCCTGTCCCACATCTCATTGTTCCAAACATGTTGCATATATATAATATACAAAATAAAATACAGTTTGTCCAATCATTAAAATTAAGCTGTAATGGCAGTGAATTTGTGATTAAGTTCACTCTGTGATTTGTGCCTGTTTGTGAATCATAGTGTGTTGATTGAAGCTGAGCGATGCCAGAATGATAGTATGTGCCTGAAATTTGTGTTCCTCTCTTGCATTAACTTGACTTTCAACTCTCTCCGTAGACAGAATGCACGGATTGAGCCTTTATGATGCCGGTGGGAGTTCAGTTGTTTGAAGGTGTTCTGTGAGAGTCGTGGGGTTAGGTCTTGTATTCAGAAGAGAAAGGAAGCATTAACGTTTGTTGTTGTTGTTTTGTTTTGTTTTTTTCTTTGTCTCTTCTGTGATCTTTAGTCATCTGACAAAGAAAAGATAGACCAGCTCCAAGAAGAGCTGCTGCGCACTCAGGTACAGTAGCTGTGACTTTCTCCTTGCTTAAATGTAAATGTTGAAATGTTTCTGGTTGTTAGTTTTGACACTGCTATTTGTCCATTAGCTAAGATATCAGCGCATGCTGGAGAGACTGGAGAAGGAAAACAAAGAGTTGAGGAAAGTGGTGCTGCAAAAAGATGATAAGGGCATTCACCAAAGGAAAGTGAAGGTGGGTTATGAACATATTAAACACATACAGATTCTCTTTTTCCTGGTCTAGATTTTACTTTAATTGGGATTGCTTTTTCAGATGTGAGCATTGCAGATATCTGGAATATTTTCCAGATAGGTCCCAGAGTGTTGGGCAGTTACATTTTATTATGATTAATATCTGTTAATGATAAAAAAAGTGTTGCCTTTCATAGATTTAGTTATTCTCCAGCTCTTCTTTGTTGTGACAGCTAATTACTCAAAGACTGATAATTAATTACTGTTCTGTCTCCTTGTGTAGAAATCCCTTATTGATATGTATTCTGAAGTCCTGGATGTCTTGTCGGACTATGATGCCAACTACAACACCCAGGACCACCTACCCAGGGTACATATGAGCTTTATTTGTTGAACATCTGTGTGTTTTTTAAGAAACAACATTTTTGTGTCATTTTTGTGTGTGTTCGTGGGTGTGTGTTAGAATTGATAGCTTGACTCATAAAAATCAACAAACAACTTCCTAAATACCCGAAAGGTTGATTCTGTTAATCAACGAATCAGCTTTTTGGGATTTCCTTACGTGGATGATTGAGTGTGCATCAAAACTTTGTAAATATGTTGCCAAACTTGCATTTATTGTTACTGGATCACAGAAGGCCTTCTGTTTCATTTTCCATTATCCCAACGCTGTTTGGTTGAGCTGTTTACCTTTCCCTGTCTCTTTGTGTGGTCTCACCCTCTTCCTAAACTTGTGCTTCAGGTCGTTGTGGTGGGCGATCAGAGTGCTGGAAAGACCAGCGTGCTCGAGATGATAGCACAAGCCAGGATATTTCCCAGGGGCTCAGGAGAGATGATGACACGCTCTCCCGTCAAGGTGTGTGAAAGATTTCATATTTATATGGCCCTTATTTAATTGAATATTTTTTCACAACATGGTCAGAAAATGTCATCATAAACAGGTTTACATAAGGAACAACAAAGATGTTTTTGAGTGTTGTCACACAAGCATTCTGGGAAGTTAAACCAACATTGACTCATTTTTTTAAATACATAAAAACTCTTATGTTGTGTAGGTAACATTAAGTGAAGGCCCTCACCACGTGGCCATGTTCAAGGACAGTGGCCGAGAGTTTGACCTAACCAAAGAGGAAGATGTAAGTGACACAGTCTTCAATCCATCCATTTGATAGAAACTACAACTTCAAGCTAGTTGTTTCATTAAAGTATTTATTGTGCTCTTTCTTTCTGTGTCCCACAGCTGGCTGCTCTCAGGCATGAGATTGAGCTGAGGATGAGGAAAAGTGTGAAGGAAGGACAGACAGTCAGCTCTGAGGTTGTACATATACTAACACTCAGATTAAACATAAAGTTTTTTTTCCTGCAGTGTTTCATGAAATGATGTTTTCTATTCTGTATGTTAGACAATATCCTTGAGCGTTAAAGGGCCTGGCATCCAGAGGATGGTACTCGTTGACTTACCGGGTGTAATCAGTGTAAGTCTATATTCTGCGTATAATAATGTTTCACATTCCTTTGGCTGTATTAGGATTTCATTTGGGTTTTTTTCTATAATTTACCTTATATTGATTTACCAATATGTAATAGATAATTTTTAAAAAATCAAAAATTTATTTGTTTTCCTAAAGTGTAGAAGTTGCTGTTAGAGTCACTATTTCACTTTTTGTGAAAATTGCAGTCTTAAAAAGTTATTTAATGTCTTGTAGACGGTGACTGCGGGCATGGCAACAGACACTAAGGAAACCATCTTCAGCATCAGCAAGGCCTACATGCAAAACCCCAATGCAATCATCCTCTGTATTCAGGGTAAGATATGCATATGTTTCCATTTACAGTAATAAAACCAGCACATATCAAAGTGAGAGAAGAGGTGATCTCTACGTGGACTAACCCTCTTGCTCGTTGTCCAGATGGCAGTGTGGATGCAGAGCGGAGCATTGTAACAGACCTGGTTAGCCAGATGGACCCTCAGGGAAAGAGGACCATCTTTGTCCTGACCAAAGTGGACCTGGCTGAGAAGAACCTGGCCAGCCCAAGCAGAGTAACTAGTCTTTGCCATCTAAGAAAATGTTGTAAAATAGTTACTTTATAGGTAAAAGATATACTATTAACAGCTTCGAAAGCTTTATTTTATTTTAATTTCTTAATGTAGTGGCAAAAATACAGGTCTGCCTAATGATTCTTGACACCTGAAAAAAACATTATCATGACATTGTTGTTCATCGTGTTAAAATGACTTCTTAAAAGTGATCATGTTGATTCGTCATGCAATTATTGCAGTGTGATTAGAGCTATTTGCAACTACACCACAAGAGGGCGCTAAATCCTTACAGTTTAACCAGATTTTCTTGGCAAGTCAGCACCTGGTTTCAGAAAACAGTGTGCACACAACAGAATAGAGAATTTCAGTCATATTTGTCTTTTGGTTTTTTTTGCCATCTTCTTTTTCAGATTCAGCAAATAGTGGAAGGCAAGCTGTTTCCCATGAAAGCCCTGGGCTACTTTGCTGTTGTAACAGGAAAAGGTGACGTCCACTACTGTGAACTCCAGCATGCTACATTTATTTTTGTGTCCCTTAATGATGACTTTTAGGTCAATAATGTCACATTTCCATAGAGAAATTTGTTTTAAAATGTTTTATCTCCACTTTAGCTTAACTAAACAGCAGGTGAAGTAGGTAGCCAGGTAGATGACCCTCCCTGTGTGAGGGAAGCAGAAAGCATTCAGGGATGCCTGCTGTTAAAACAAAGAACATGTGCAGGGAATCACAAGGTGTCTCATTCATCTTTGCCATAAGGAAGTCATTGTTTTCTGTGATGCATTCAGAGAAATGCAGTAATGCAAATGCAGTAATTTTTAAATTGCGAACTGGAGCAGAGCAGCAAGCCTTCCTACATGAGCATGACACGTATTCTACTAAATGAAGGCTACATTTAGTACAAGCTTGCTCTCAAATAAAGGCCTTCTGCCTTTGGGCTAAATAAAAGACTCGGCCACTATTTGATAGAAATACATTATGTAACACACAGCATTGCATAGAATAGTCGCTAATTTATGTTAAATTATTTGCTCATACTTTTTATTGCTAATTGCTTGTGTCCAGGAAGCAGTGCTGAAAGCATAGACTCCATCAAAGACTACGAAGAGGACTTCTTTCAGAACTCTAGGTTACTCAGGCAAGTTATACCATCTAATATGCAGCTTCTAAAAGTTCATCAAATAAGTAATTCCAGAGTTGAGAAATAATTTGTGTGCACAACTAGGGACGGCATGCTGAAAGCTCACCAGGTGACTACAAAGAACTTGAGTCTGGCCGTCGCTGACTGCTTCTGGAAGATGGTGCGGGAGTCTGTAGAGCAACAAGCTGATGTCTTCAAAGGTATGACAGCACCTTCAGCATTTAATTTTATCCTATAAAGAACCAATTGATTCATATAGATTGGTTGTTTGCAATGAAACATTTATATGGTCAGATCTGTTTGCAGTGATGTGCATGTTAATAATGTGAATAGGCATGTTAGGATTAACAGTAAAAGGAGTAGCTGATCTTACTCTTTTCAGTCTCCCTATATTGGCTTTCCTCAGCCACTCTGCCATACTTTTCCACCCCCTCTGTCTTGACTTCCAACTACAATTAGTCTAGACAGTCTCAAGCTCATTGCTAACAGCATAAGAGATTTATGGCCATGAGACTTCACATCCCATAGGTCCATTGTGTTGAGCATCGATCCATATCCCATCAAATCACATGCAGCCAGCTTCCATCCTCCATTCTTGGCGCCACCACATCTCTACAAACCAGCAATTAGCCTAATCTCCACTGTGGATAGGGAGCTGTGGAAAGGGGCAAGAAGCTCAGTGTGCTAGTGTGTCTCTGTGTGCATACGCGAGAGGTAAAACTCTGACTTTTGATAAAATTGTGTGATTGGCCCCATCTTCCCTCCTCCCCAGAGACCAGTTAGGGAGAGTAAGTGTGCAAAACCCTCATCCCCTGTTATTAGAGAATAAACACCATCTGGTGACTGAAGGCTGCCGTCATATCATGCTATGTGAGAAAAGGCCAGGCTCTCTCTGTATAGGCTCATTGCTTGATGATGATCGAGATCTGTCAAAGGATGGAGCATAATCTCCATGGTGAAAAAGAAAGAAAGATTTAAGTGTTCAGTTTCAGCCAGGCAGAAGAATGAGCACTAGATAATTTGATGATTAGGGTCTGTTGGAGCTTTATGATGTTGCCGTCTATATTAAAATTATAATGTCACGTTTCATGTGTAAGACTGTTTAAAAATATATTATAGCCTCTGCACACTGTCTCACCTACTACTATTTTATTAAATCACAACATCTCAGACTAAGTGACCCTCATCAGGTACAAAACAGTTTTCATACAATCCATCCAGTCTGAATGCTGATGGTCCCTCTTTAGAACTGTGTGGATGTAATCGATGATAACAGTAGTTGCTCTTTATTTAGAGGTTTTATCACTAAACCAACAATTGCATTACTGTCGTTATGGAAGTTTTTACCAGTTAGTTCTCTTATCAGGATTATTTGTTTATTTCCTGTGGGTCATTCAGGTGTGCAGTGATTTTAAACCACGTAAGATTGAAATTTGTTCATATTGAAGTTGAAAATGTTTGTTTAAATATTTCTTTTCATGATCCCTGCTTTAACCAGCTTCACGATTCAACCTGGAGACAGAATGGAAGAACAACTACCCTCGTCTAAGAGAGCTGGACAGGGTAGGAAACACAAACAGCCATTTCTTTGAACTCTCACATAGTTCTTTATAAAAGCAAGCTTGCTCATTAGTGATGGATATTTTATAAATTACATTTGTGTTTTTAAAAAAAAATGTCCTTAAGAAATAAGAGTTTATTAATATGTTAAAATTGCATAATGTAATTTAAAATTACATTAAAGGTTTTTAATGTAGTATTTAATCTTTTTGCAGAATGAACTGTTTGAAAAGGCTAAAAATGAAATCTTGGATGAAGTTATTAGTTTGAGTCAGGTGACTCCACAACACTGGTAAGTTCCTCTTGAACTAACATCATGATTTATTATTCTTTAGTTGGTCTCACCATCATTTCAGTGACTTTGTTAGTTTTAGTTGTTTGTGAGGTGAATGATATTTCATGTTATGGGGAAAGAGCAGTGTTAAAATGTGCATTAGTACTTAACCAGCCATGAGCTAAAAAGCAGATCTTTGTCTGCATGTAGCTGTATGTGAATACCACAATGAGTAAAACCTTGCTTAAATGAGATCTATGCATGCTGTTGTGGGAATCCCCTGTGTGCGTGGCATCAGTTTTCTCTGATCAATAATCTGATGAATGGCCCATGGACAGGAGCAGGGGTGGCCCTGTTAGCCAGCCAGCAGCCAGCCAGCATTATTGGAAATGGCTCTTATTGACAGTGAGGAGTGCTAGCTGGAACAAAAGGGGACCTAATGAAATATGGCTGTGCGTTTATGATAAATGAGATAAGTGCAACGCTTCCCTGGTCTCAGCGGGATTTGGGACTCGGGGGAATCCTGGGTTTTGTTCTGCGTCGCTGTGGAGAGTGTGGATGCTGTTAGCTTTTAACAGGGTCATAGTATAGATGTTGGAGTTTACAGTCGAGCGTCCCTCTTTGCTCATTGTTTTCCTGCTCCGGCTGACGACTTAACTGCACTCAGCTGGACACCCTGGTCCAAAGCACTCTTTTTGTGTTTTTGTCTGTCTTCTATCTGTAACTAAAAGTGATAATCCAAATCTTCAAGATCTTAACATGGGTTAGAGTTATTGAGCTACAAAGTTTGGTACAAGTCGGCGCACATCTCTTTCAGAACTGACTTGTTTTTTTTCCTTCTTGTAGGGAATCTATTCTACAGAAAAAGCTGTGGGAACGTGTTTCCACCCATGTAATTGAGAACATCTACCTGCCTGCTGCCCAAACAATGGACTCTGGTACCTTTAACACCACTGTAGACATCAAGCTCAAACAGTGGACTGACAAGCAGCTCCCGCACAAAGCACTGGAGGTGCAGCACACTTGCTTTATTAGTCAGCTCATATCATGATTCATTCAGTTAAAGTGATTGTTGTTATTTTAAGAATTTTTTTATTACATTTTGGTGAGTTCACTGTAGGGCTGTTTGATATAACGATATATATCGGATGACGATATAAAAACGTCTATGTTTAATTTTACGCTATCGTTTGCTTCGTGGTGTCGCAAAAATAAACTGTTTACTGCAATATTTTTTCGTTTTGATGGTCACTGTAGTGGCTATATTAATTTCTTAAAGTTCTCTCTTTCTCTTATATTTAATATAACCACACTACGGACAGACAAGCGCCTGTATTTATGCGTTGTCGTTAGCAACAACAACGGTAACTCCATCGCGTCACGTGTCCGCTTGTTTATTTTCCACATAAACCTTTCACAATAAAGCTCAAGATCCTGTTGAGACTTTTCAAAATAAACTGAATCACGTGAAAGAGTATGCAGAGTTTATGGATGAGAAGCAAAAAAGAGCCGTCGGGTGCTAAAAAATAGACCTTAGACTCAAACGTTAGAACAGGCTTTTCCCCGCAGCACGCCGTGTAATAAATACTCACAAAGAAAACGGCGGCCGTTACAACTTATGTCTAAAAATGTATCGTTTCATGCATCGGTTAAAAAACTCGACTCCAGCTACACAACGCCCAGCTGGAAACATTTCACGCAAGTCGAGCCGCCAGAGATTCACAGAATTTACAAAAAAAATGTTACATTTTTGTGATTTATATCGTTATCGGACGATAGATGTCTTATATCGGGATGTGAGATTTTGGTCATATCGCACAGCCCTAGTTCACTGTCATATTCTATTGTTTAGTATTTCTTTTCTTTTTGCTGTGTGTTGTTTTTTTTATGAGTATCTTGACTCTAATTCGATTAACACAGACTGTAGAACTTGTAAAAACAATTAAATCCAGCAGTGGCTTTATTCTAATAGCCCCTTTTCCCTCCTTATATTTTGCATACTTTGCCCCTGTCAGATTGCCTGGGAGACACTGCAGGAGGAGTTTGCCCGCTTCATGGCTGAATACAAAGGCAAAGACCAGGATGACATTTTTGACAAGTTGAAGGAGGCTGTGAAGGATGACAGTATCAAGAGGCATAAGTGGAATGAGAGGGCCCTGGACAGCCTGGTAAACACACAGTAAAATACCCTCACAAGCAGAAAGTGCACACTTGTTTATTGAAGCTCCCAGAGCAGACAGAATTTCATGATGAGATGCCATCAGCATAGAGAATGTAGTCGTGATGCAAAGAAGCACTGATGCTAACAAGTGGAATGTGTTTTTTGTACCTCTGTGTGTGGTTGTGTCAGAGGGTGATTCAGCACAATGCCCTCGAAGACCGCTCCATCACAGACAAGCCCCAGTGGGATGCAGCAATCCAGTTCATGGAGGAAACCCTGCAGTCACGCCTCAAAGACAGTACGTTGGCTATGATAGGATCATATGTTAAAACTCTCCTCGCAGTCTTAACCACACAAAAACATTTGTAGACTTTTATGGTTCTTTGTAGTTTTGGTTTTTAGTTGGAATCACATCAACACAGTTTCAGGTTCTTACTTTTGTCCCAGACATCAGTCACACACCTGTCCTGACCAGGTTTTAGGTGATCATGCTTTTGTGGTGCTTTTGCTGCCACAATGAGGCATGCTGTTTTTTCTGACGTATGATTTAATTTTGTTCTGTTTTGCTCTTTGCTCTCGACCTGCAGCTGAATCAGTAATCAAAGACATGGTGGGCCCAGACTGGAAGGAGAGGTGGCTGAGTTGGAAGAATCGTACACCAGATCAGGTCAGAATTGCAGGATTTCCTCAGAAGTCATAGTTGTGATGGTGCAGTAGTTTTTATAAGGAGCTTTGAAGCTGTGAAGTGGAAGATCAATAAAAGCTATCACCTTACACAATGGTCTAATTCCATCCACACTGTAGAGCTTACATATAAATATGTAATATTTTACATTCAAATGCTCCTTGAAGTGAAGACTTGCTTTTCTAAACCTTGCAGCATATTCGGAATGAAACAAAAAATGAGCTGGACCGCCTGCTGAAGCTGCACGATGAGCACACGGCTTACCTGGCTAATGATGAAGTCACCACAGTACGGAAGAACCTGGAGGCACGGAGTGTAGAAGTTGACCCGATGCTGGTGAGATGGAACGGATTATTCCAAACATTTTTTTTGTAACAGCAATACCTGGCACTTATGTTTGGCCTCTGTTAACTGGTGAAATATTTCCATACTTGCTCAGATCAAGGATACGTGGCATCAGCTTTATCGGCGACACTTCTTACAGAAGGCACTGTCACACTGCAACCTCTGCAAGAGGGGTTTCTACTACTACCAGAGACACTTTGTTGACTCTGAGGTAAGTAGAAAGAGTTGTCTTTTATTTTTTTTTATGTATTTATGCAGTTTCACCTGAGGTCAGGGTTAGTTTGGAAAAAATGTAACTTTACTCTGGGGCACCCTGTGTACTGAAGGCGGAAGACCTAGCGGGTACACACCCTTGATTTGTGTCTGTCCCAGGCCAAAAATAAAAAATAAAAATGTGATATCCCTGTTTGTTTCTGCAGTTGGAGTGCAATGATGTGGTGCTGTTTTGGAGGATACAGAGGATGCTGGTTATAACAGCCAACACTCTACGACAGCAACTTACCAACACTGAAGGTGAGCACTGTGGACTGGGGCTGGGGGCTATGTTATTTCCATAACAGCAGTTGTAGCTATTTATGGAATAAAGGTAAAACTATAGAATATCAAACCTTCTATTTTTAATGATTTCAGCCTTGTAGTTGTCATTTCTGTGGGTTTGTTTTTCTTGTATCTTTTTGTAAAACCAACAGGTTATTGGCAGGAATTTTACTTCCTCCTTTTGATTTTTTCCCTCCTGGTGGAGTAAGTTGTTCCATCAGTGGTACTTTGTGTGAAACATGTGAAAAATGCAGTGCAGTGAATCTAGTTGCACGCCATCCCCAAAGCTGATACTGAGATCAGATTTCACTGTTGGTTAGAAATGTTTGACTGAAGTCGTCTCTGCACTTTCATTGTTGGGCTTAGTGATTTTTATATCCTTTAGCAAGGTTCCAGTAGTTATCCAGATTATCTATAAAGTAAAGACAAATGTGAGAGTGACAGTCCTTCTCCGAGTCTTTTTAATCATTATAAAGTGTTTTCATAACTTGATTCATCAAAACAAAAGATCGACAGAAAAGTGCATTTCATTGTTGTTGGGCCAGGCATTGATTATTATTGTTTCTTGTGTATCTGTCTCTGTGTCCGTGCTCGCCAGTGCGCCGATTGGAGAAAAATGTGAAGGAAGTGTTGGATGACTTTGGAGAAGACATGGAAAAGAAGACCCAACTCATAACTGGCCGCCGAGTCCAGCTGGCTGAGGATCTCAGTAAGACACACAAACACTTGCAGAGCAGAAAATACACTGCAGATACACAAAGGCTATAAAGAAACACCTGCTGAGTCTGATTGTTCCTATTTAAACTTCACAGTTCTTAACTCAGCGTCACAGTAGTTTGCATGCTAACCTACTACACTATCAGATATTATATACAGTAATGTGCAAAAGTTTTAGCCAGGTAAGAAAAAAAAATGCTGTAAACAAAGAATGAGTGTTAATCATTTATTTTCATCAATCAACAAAATGCAGTGAATGAACAAAAGAGAAATCTAAATGAAATCAATATTTGGTGTAGCGACCCTTTGCCTTCAAGACAGCATCAATTCTTCTTGATACACTTTCACACAGTTTTTGAAGGAACTCGGCTGAAAACTTTCTCTTTTTTTTTCCCCACACCTGCCTAAAACCTTTGCACCGTACTGTATGCATATCTTACTTTGACCACTCAGGTCAACTACGTTATATTAAGCACGTGGATCCATTCTATAAAATCCTAGAGTCATCAGTAGGTGGCAGTGATGCTTCAGGAATTTATATTGATTAGTCCAGTATGGCAGTATTATTGCATTTAAGTTAAGCTAACAGTACAGGCCGGCTAAAAAGGCCTGTTTTCAGTTGCCTAGAAAATAGGATGCTCTCTAAGAAGTAGGTAAAAGCAGACAGAAAATATTTGTAAAGCATTTAAAGCTGTTTCTATTTGAAAAATGTACAAAGACGTACAAATGAATTGTTCAAGCAGAAGAACATTATTTAAAGGAATATTTATTTATATGTAAGCTTATTTTTTACAGCAATGAGAAGTTCAAACGGGGGAAACAGAATAACAGAAAAGACCAGAAAAGTTTTGTGTTTCTTAAAAACGCATCACGTGGAACATTTCAGAACTAATTTATTGGATATAAAAAGAGATGCTGAGTCTTTGAGGAGTAGAGATGGAGAGGAGCTCAGGCAATAGTTCAGTTTAATAAAACTGCTTCTCATTTTAAAACTAAAAAGAGTTGGAGAAATCGCTGAGGTTAATTCATCTATATCAGTCGTCATCAAGTAACAGTAGGTTAATATAAATGACAACACGCAGCATAGATGCTCTCACATTAAGCTTAAATAAACAAAGAAATTAAGACATTAGCTAAATAATAGAAGTGTATTTAAATTTATACTTTTTATTAAAAAAAAGAAGCAGCTGTTTTCAGCAATCTGATAAGGGGTAACCACAGCGCCTAGCTCTGCCCGTTTAATTTGGCTGTGTTTTACGTGGTACGCCCTTCCTGACACAACCCCAGAAGAGATTTTTAATCTTGTGCACATAATCTCTTCAACGCCTACTGGGAGTTCCTTTAAATTTTGCACAAGTGTTCACTTGGACTCTAGCAAGAACTGATTATTAATGATTGACCCATCTCCTCCTTTCCTTCTGTAATTTTGAGGAAACTGCTCTTGCTTAAGCACAGATATGTTTTTGCAAATAAAATGACTCGTTCTCAAAAGTAATTCGTACTGATGTTAATTACAAAATAAGACACTCTGTTCCTACAGCGACGCAGTGCACATGTGCTGTATCTCCTCTGTAAGTGAGTTTTGGGAAACTTTTCTCGGGGGTGGACCGATATATCTGCTAATTTTTACCTGTCAGCCTTTTGAAGGCTCTTAATTAAAAGCTGGTGCAATGAGTCTTCTCCAGCATTGGTCTTATTCAGAGAAGCTCTGCTTGCTAAGCAGTTTGTGTTTGCAAAGTGGCACACATGGCTTGCTGCCATTTCAGAAGTATCTGTGACACACACACGAGCATGCGCATGCATAATGACTGTTCCTGTCACCACAGAAGTACACAACAATTTAGACACACTTGCCTTTAAGTTGTAATTTTCTCACATTTAATCCAAGTCAAAGCACAGTGTTAAAACACTGCAAATGCCTGCATGATCTCAGAGTTTAAAGAACAATACGTGCCTCAAATACACACATTAGAGTGAAGTCAGTTTTTGCAGGAATCATTCTCCTGTCAACTTCTTTTAGATTTTGTTGACTTTCATATGTTGCATGTAAGCTCTGATTGTCAAAAACACATTAGTGCTTTTATTACCTTCCATGTAAACAACAGCAGACCACATGTACAGTATTTAAGTAGGCATAGTCATGCTACATTAAGAGGCACTCAGAGAAGACAGAAACACACACGGAGGTTTTTGCTGAGGGTTTTTCTGTCACAGAGCCCCCTCTCCATTCCACACACCGTCAGCCATGTCTAGACCTGCCTGGCCTTGCAAATTCTATAAGGCAAGTGGATCCATAAACTTTTCCAAACATGACATCCCCACTTTCCATCTGGAAAGACTGTCCTCACTAATAGATGTAGGAGTGTGTCTGGAATTTCTTAAGAAACCATGTAGTGTAGGACCACACCTGTGCATGCACACACATTTATTTTGTTTCTTTATGAATTATTTGTAGTGAAGTGTTTACTTCACTCTTTAAATCTGCATCAATACAAGCAGCCATCATTTGGAGGGTCAGATGGGAATTTTGACATCAGGAAAAACAAATCTGTTTATTGTAATTTGAAGGTATAATGAACGTAAATGTAAACAGAATAAAATGCTCTGTGAGTCACCATGAACCACTGACCATGAGATGCAGTTTTCTTTATTGCATTTTACTCCTCATATCTCACTCCCTTCACTCCTATCTCTACTGCCGACTGAAATATAACACCACTTATTTTGTTGTAACTCATAACTAACATTCCAGCCTAACATTGCAGTCTGCTGGAAATGTACCTCACAGCACGCCGCCCTTTTGCAGCCCTAATTTTACAGTGATGTCAATTTTTTTTCTTTTCCTCCTGCTAATAAAATGTATGTTCCAGAGTTTGAGCTTTGTCAGTCTGTCAGGTTGAGTTAGTGGGTGAGTGGAGGATCTGGGTCATTAGCTGTCGGACACTTTGCGCAGGGCATTCGGTGTAACACAGCCTAGACCTAAGTGTGTGGGTATGTGGGTCCTTGAGTCTAGACTGAACCACGTGGCTTATGGGCTGAGTTGGTGACATGCCTCAATCTCCTCTGGGCAAAGATTTCTTCTTTTTTTTTTTTTGGTTCCTTTTTTAACTGAAAGGCTCATCATAAAGGTTTCCTTTGCAGAAGCTTTTCACTCGTGCAAATATAGTAACTGGACATGGCAAAGCATAATTAATAAAACCCAACTTAAGCATTCTTAATTAGAAGTATCAGGTAGTGATTACTTTGTACTTTTAAGGACATTTCCGCTGTTAGGAGACCCTAAATCTGTCTTTAGCAACATCAGGCGGTTACTACATTTAAGAACACATGATAGGAATCACACATGGTTCCTTCCGAAACATGCAGTTCTCGACAGGAGAAGATTTTTGTTTGTTTTTTTTGTCTGCATCTGTGTGAAACAGCCTTATTCAATGTAGTTCCATCAATCATGAAATCATCTTTTCTTTGCAATATCGTTTCTCCTTCATTCTCCAGACCTTTTAGAAACAACAGGTCAGATTGCCTCAGGCCCAAACTATGGCCTGACCCCACAGGTCAGCCAGCTGATACCATAGGCTACTTGATCCAGCTATTTTTTTTTTAAACCTGGCTCCAACTCCCTGGGTCATTCTGACCCTATTTCACTGCCTCTGTTAAAATCTATCCACCTGATCCTGTCTATCACTTTTCTCCCTTGGCAGAGGGAAAGAAAAACACAATGGGCAAATCTCAGAGGAGGGCTCACCTTCACCTTTATAGCCTCTCCGGTTAGAGAGGAGAGAAAGTGGGAGAGATGGGAGACATTAGAAAAGATAAACACACTTAAAAGCAGAAATGCGCTTCCAGGGGTGGACTGCTGTTAAACTCGTATTTGCCCCTACTCGCAGACAGACCTACGATCACTCGGGTTACAAATACAGGTCAGGTGTGTGCGTGAGGGAGAGCATGAAAACTCTGTTAATTAATAGTACGCTGCAAAGCGGGGGTGTGTGTGTGTTTGTCAGCGTGTGCCGGACCAGCTGTATGGCACAGTGCCGTCTCTGGAGCAAAGCCCAGGCCTAATGTGCAGGCAGAGCCCTCTTAGGAGACCACTGGGCTGTCGCTTGGCTGCTTCATTGACCCTCATAGAAACGTAGTGCAGTGTGTATGTGTTTGAGTGTGTTTGCATGTGTCTGTGCTTGTTAGAGCTACTGTGGTGGCTGATTATAGACAGCGCACTGTACCACATTGTTTCAAGGATTGCTTTTATTTTATCAAGCCGTGAATGTCGTATTTAATGTCGTGAGTTTGCACCATTTTTCTATGTCAGCACTTTGTTTTGTGTGAGATATTTGTCAGTTGTAACACACAGATCTGTTCAAGGAGTTGGTGTTTAATGTTTATGTTAACATTGAGTTTAGTGTATTCATGTGTCTTCATGTGTATTCATGCGTTTTTATACTTTAAAAAAATCATCTGATACTATTATTAGTATAAATGCAGACTCGTTATTTCACCACACATCTGCAGTTCAATTCAATTCAATTTTATTTATATAGCGCCAAATCACAACAACGGTCACCTCAAGGCGCTTTATGTTGCAGAGTAGATCATACAATAATAGATACTGCTTTGCTTGCAGTGTCCACAAATCGAAATCCGGTGTGTAAATGGAAGGTGGAACAGTTTTTTATTTCTTCCTAGAGCCAGTTTGGCTGTTTTGGAACAGGAAGGAGCAGATTCCAGCAGTCACTCCCACATTGGTGGCTTTTTATCTACCTTGTCAGATTGTTGAAGAACGTGCACACAGTGCACTGGTCCCTGAATATATAAATAGAAATGCACATTTGCACCTCCTTTCTACTTTCCCCAAAATATTTTCAGTCCCAAGATTAAAAACTCATATTTCTCCACAAATGGATGGGTTTTTTCAACATACAGTATTACATCCCTATTTATTTATTTTTAATAGGTTAGTTGGCGAGTTTAAAACCTGGTCATGGTTGTTTGTAA